CTCGTCTTCTTTACTTTTCTTTTTGTCATCAGGCTTTTTGGCACTTCCATAAATGATTGAGACGAAAATAAAAGAAAATGGTGAACATTTTTGTATTTTAGTTTGCTACCTTTTCAACGCAAAATAAAACCGGTCGACAGATGCCGGTCTAGATGGGAAAATCTAGACCGCGGTCAATATCGATTTCAGCCAATCAAATTCGTGAATTCGGTAGTTCCCAGTCTTTGTGAGACACAGCCATATAATAACGTCGAATATACAACGGCTTTCCTTTATTCTGATTGACTGTATTTTCTATGGCATGGTATAAAAATGTTTCATTTAGTTGGACACTGCTCTCTTAAAAGATTATACAGGTGTTGGATGCTATAGAGACACTACAGATCGTGCAATTCCAACACTTGAAGACACAGACTCAGTCTTGGATGGCGGGGTATTCTTTTACCGCAGCCGTCAGAACGCAATTGTCAAGTGCGCTGTCGCAGCTCGCAGAAGGGGTTTCCCTGCCTTTGCACTTCAGGATGGCGGCTGGTGTGCAGCGAGCGCTAATGTACTGGAGACGTTTAACAAATATGGCAAGAGTAGCGACTGCAATAATAAAGGCACAGGAGGTCCTTTTGCAAACAATGTTTACGTTTTTCAAGATGAAATTAACAGTAAGTGTTTTTCTCAGGAGTACAAAGAATGTAAAACATAACGAACTCAATAGAGTCAACGTTGAAATGGTTATGTTTAATGTTTATAATTCCAGGATCAATTTGAAACAAAATAGTTATACGAAGCTAGCAATTGGTTCTTGTTCGACGACTGGGAAGAGGCGCATCAAGAAACAAGGACAGAACTCAAATTCAAATCAGTTGAATGAAGATTTTGACAAAATACTCCCCACTCAGCTTTTTAATCGGACACGTTATTACTGGAGGATTATTAATAGCTGAATCTGATAGCTTTAAAATGATATAACTACGTTCAGCAAACGACATCTTCATCACTGCGTTTAATAATCCCCCAAAATGACCGGGAGAATTTAAATAATGTCAGTAACGTTTTGCATAAGCCATCATCCAATATAATTCTTTTTTGCCTCGAGTGTTTGATACCTCTTCTCAAACAAACTGAGTAGGGAAAAACGGAGCAGTAAAATCCAAAATCTATATTAAATAAGTTCAGGTAGCAAAACACCGTTACTGTCATTATTTCCTTTTTTAAAACTTGATCAGTAATTTGATGAGTTTGAGAATCTTCTTTTTTGTTCAACCTTGCAGCCGTCAGAGTTTCAGATCCAATCGCCTTTTATCCCTTGAACACCAAGTACACAACACGGGAAATAAAAAATCGACAAGCCCAGGGTAACCCTGTTGGTGTTAGCATGGCGCCAGGGCCTGATGGCAAGGCCGGTGGCTCGTACCAATTCACGGGACAAAGCAACAGTTACATCGAGTTCCCAAACAATGGAGGGTTAGATGCTCAACACTCCATCACCATGTTATGTTGGGTGTATCCTGAGAATACAGACGGACCAATTTTCAATTATAAGATAACTGGTGGGCCTTGGGCTGTTCATTTCTGGATGCATTCTGGAAAGCTGTACGGTGTAATAAGTCAACGAAATTACCTTATGATTCCAGGGTTACGCACGTTTCACGTTCTGGCGTTAAACCAGTGGCATTATGTTGGTTTTACCTATAGTCACATTACTGGTATGGCAAATTTATGGCTGGATGACCAACGAGTGGTGCACAGGAATATTGGAGCCGGCCTGTCTCTTTCAACTCAAGATAACGTTAGAATGGGCGCATTAGAAAATGATGGCCGGTATTTTAAGGGACGAATTACAGCCATGCAGATTTATGACGTTGCTTTGACCGAGGAGCAAATAAACGCAGTGGAAAACGCTGGTCAAGGTAATCATAATGATACTTTGACATGTCGCGCGAATTTGACTTTGTATGGTCGAGGCTAAAGTTAATCAGTCACTCAGCGATCATTACAAATTATTTCTGGAAGGGAGAATTGTTGGACAGGAGTATTTACAGACCTCACCTTCCCCCTCAGCTGTTGGCTGTTCAATAATTGCTTGGTCAACTTTACTTACATTCACATGCAACAGATATTTAATAGAGACATCTCATCTCATATGGCACTTCATTACTGATACATACACATACTTTCATTGCAATCGAGAGCAATGGTCTTACTTTATCTCAGAGGTCTAAAATTAAGTAGGTCAAGATAATTTGGCGTTGAGACCATACATTCTCGAAAATAGTGATAACTCTTCATTGAAATCTACACGGAACAACATTTTGGCATAATCACAAACCCATTTCCAGCGCCCTAAGACGAGTTCGTAACCTTGCCTTGTGTTGATTACAGGAAACGACAGGTGCAGTGAGATGGGCTGGGAGTCCGCCCTCCGTGGACCAGGATGGGCAAACTGCTCATTGGGAAGATACATAAGTGGAGTGTGGAGGGAAAATGATGCTGTCATTTCTTTACCTGATGGCATCGATAATATTAAAAAGGGGCAGTGCTGTAGCTCTCCACACGAATACAAAGATGATACTCCTGTTTGCCAAACACTGGATTGGAAAACTTCATTAAGTAGGTCAGTTAGAAGTCTTACCAAACGATTTGCAGTGAGCAAACCTTTTTCTTTTTGCGCTTTTACACTAGCTATAAGGAACGTAAAGAGATCGCAGGGCCTTCAGTTGGCTCTGTTCTTTTTAATTTGTTAAAGAACGTTACACGATTATCTTCAACCAATAGCAGAATTAAGCAAACAATAAGTCTTTTGTAAGGAGCGTCAAGAGGCAGACTCTGCTACAGAACCTTCAACTGGTTCTCTATTCTTTCAGATTGGCTAGAGAACGCTAGCTGCGCGTGTTTTCTTGTTTGGCAAATGTCTGCAGAGCTAAGAAAAGGCAAAGCTAGACAAACTCTCTCTTCTTTTTTCGCTATCTGCTTTTGCGCTGTTTCACAGGATGATAGCATAGAATAGAAGCGGACGACGCATCATTTTAAAAAATATATATCAGTCTAGCTATTCCTGTGTCAGAATCATTCATGTTTATTTTTAGTTTATTTTAACTTTTTTGGTCTTTCCCTTACCGCTATTCTGGGATGCTTTTCCGGGATTTCGCTCTTTGAAACGTGGATGACGTAACGCTGACATCAAGTGTTTGCCTCCTAACAATGTGGTTAGCATTTGATTACGGTCCAGTTTCGGTTCTCGCATTGCTCAGAGGTTCTTCAGCTGAAAAATCAACATTTTCAAATTCCAATTCGACCAGGATAGGGGATACGCTTTATTCTGATCTCACTGTGCCTCTCCCCACCCAGGTGTATAAATGGGTACCAGCGAGCTTAACGCACTGGGTAACCCTGCATGAGATGGACTAGTATCCCATCCAGGGTGGGGGAGGGTAGTAGAAATATATTAATAGTCCTAATCGCTCCATGCTACAGAAACCGGAATAAGCTCCGGCCTGATGGGCCACTTGCAGGCTCGTATGCAGACTTAACCTACCTACCTAACTACTTGAAAACGATGATTCAAATAGATAATCTCGTATCATTATTTTATAATTCAGAAACAACAGATGGGCTTCCTGTCCTGGCGGGTATTTTCTCCAAGGAATTTATCGCTCAAACGAGACTTGGCTTCACAACATCGAAAAAGCATTGTGCTGCAGACCCAGAAACTTCAAAAACATGACCAAGGATTGCTACGATGAAAATGTAAGGAAATCACTAAATAAGAAAGGCTGGAGTAAGTGTCGAGACTGGCACTATATGATGGGCGTGTACAAAGGAGACTGTGACAAGCTGAACTGTATTGACATGATTAAATGCTGCAGGATGACCCCTCCAGGTACGCACTCTCAGGGTCTCTCGGACCACTAATATCAAACTGAAATCCTAATAAATCCTATTATTATATGGCTCTGTCTCACAAGGACTGGGAAATACAAGCTTCACGAATTTGATTGGCTGAAGTCGATATTGAAAGCGGTATAGATTTCCCATCTAGACCGGCATCTAGACCTGTAATGTTTTGTAGTGAAAAAGTTGATCCTAGCAGTTGATCCTAGCAGTATGCAGGACACCTGTCATATATGAACTCAGTTAAATGACCTTGCTCTCCATGAGTTCTCGTGGCTCAGTGGATAGAGCGCCCGCCCGGTGTTCGGGAGGTCATGGGTTCGATTCCTGTCGGGGACTCAGAATGTTTCTTTGTTCCACGCTCGTGTCATGTTGATTAATTCATCTTCACATAAAATGCAAAATCATTGACTGTTTTCATCTGAAAATATTTATTTTTTAACCAAGCTTAGTCGCCATGTAATAAACATTTTATTAACCAAGCATACATGGGAGAATCTAAACCTCGGTCGTGTGCATAGACCTCACTGCGTTCCGGGGGTGGGGGGGATACTCCCAGAAAATTTGGTTGGGGGTGTGCGGCCTACTTCCCAAAACTCCTACCCTATTTATGACCAAAATCTGCGACTTTTGCTACCCTATTTATGACCGTTGCGGCTGGCACAGTTGCCTTAAAGATAAGTTATGAGGGGCTTTTGCTGACGGTCTTATTGATAATAATGAAAAAGTAGCTTCTTCCAAGAAACGTACCCAATTCAAGCCTAAAGTGCTAGAACCATACCCTATTTAAGACCAAACTGGCCAAAATCGATACCCTATTTATGACCAAAAGGCTGAAAACCCTACCCTTTAGGGCCGCACATACCTATATAGCCCAGGCTGCGTTCCGTCCGTACTCACGACCTCAGTCAAGATTCTCCCATACAGACCTCCTGCTCGGTTAATAAGAGCCAAATATTAAACTGCCCCATTCTCTAATAAATAATAATTAATATTCGGGTCAATATGATTGCTCTCCGCTTTGTTAGTTTTATTTTCTCCTCTTTATATATTTTCATAGTTAATAGTCTTTATATTATTAGAAATATGTAATTGCTAAGGTATGCCCGCCTAGATTAGCCTTTGGTACATGCGGCATGCTTACTTTTGTGTATAAATGTTTCGTTAAAAGGATTGTAATCAACAAATCCCCGGGGGGCACTCCTCTATATGGGCTATATAGGTATGTGTGGCCCCAAAGGATATGGTTTTTAAGCTGTTTTGGTCATAAATAGGATATCGATTTTAGCTGATTTTGGCCATTTTGGTCATAAATAGGGTATGGTTTTACACTCTAGCCTTGATATGGGTAGGTTTTAAAGAAGAAGCCACTTTTTCATCATTATCGAAAAGAAAATCAATAAAAGCCCTTCACAAATTATGTTCCCGGTAATTTAACATTGGTCTGAGCTAAGGAACTAATTATAAAGCAGGTCTGAAACAGGGTTTTGATTTAAGGGTTAAGGTCATAGATAGGGTTTCGAATTTTTGGTCAGGTCATAAATAGGGTGGGGAATATCGCAGGTTTTGGTCATAAATAGGGTAAGGGTTTAGGAAGCGGGCCGCACACCCCCACGCGATTTTTCTGGGAGTGCCCCCGGGCAATAAATTAAGTGTAAAGGTGCAAGTAAGAAAATAAAACAAGTGTGTATCTATCTTTATCTAAGTGTGTATCACTGGGCTGATGGCTTGCAAGAAAGCTATCTTGGCAGTTCTTATGGCTGTCCACGAAAATTTCAATAGCTCTATGAATTTAATTAATAATTTAACCTCGAACGCATGGCGACACGGAAACGCACCCTAAGTGTTGCAGCGAAATGTCTTTGGGGGGAGGGGGTTAAATCAATTTTGTTTGTGTACAAACAATAATAAATCCTAACCTAGCCCAAGTCACTATTTCCTGCTTTACTGTATTCTCGGTTTCCAAGTTTCTGTTTTTCAAACTCTATTTTTCGTGTTTTCTTCTGACGTGAATCCCCACTGGACGGTAAACTCCTGCAATCTTTAAGAAAATAAATGTATCTAAGGCCTTAAGCATTGATCTGATAATGTACAAGAGGGCAGAGTCTGCTTGATAAATCGTGGCTGCTTGAGACCTATACCTCTTCAGAATCGGTATAGTGACACTCGTGAGTATGGACTCCAGCAGAAGTCTGATCGAAACCTATCAATTAATTGAAACGGTTTATTTACGAAAAAAATCGTCAGCAATACGATAGCCAGTTTAAAATAAAGAAGAAACCTGCAAATGTAGGGTGGAAGCTATTATAGATTTTCTGGCTTTGTTTTGTTTTCAGATAAGGTAGTTTTAAGCTATTGGTTGCTGAATGGCCACGACGAAGATATAAGGTTGGTCACTTACTGTTTAGCGTCTAAACCTTAGTATATAGTATAATAATTATATAGCGACTGAAACTCCATGTGGCCTATGTACACCCTACCTTTACACAGAGTGCTTTCGATCGAGTATCCCAAAACCAAATTCGAAGTAATCACTCTAGCCAGTGAAAAAGGACGCGGTCAATCCAAAGAACCAATCAAAACGCCAATCAAATACATGTAGCTGAAGCGGATCGCGGGAGAACGTGAGCAAGCGAGTCACGATTGGTTTCAGGTCTGATAAGGTCGATGACAAAGTGGCGCAAGGTTTTTTGAAGCCAGTTGGTTGGCTTAGTGTAAACGTAACAGTAAGCTAATAGTGGACATCTATATATACTGATAATAATTATAAAATTCAAATCATCAAAAACATACGGGACATAATTAATTACAGCATAAAAAAAGGCTGAGCTAATAAAAGGGTTTAAAATTTCAATTATATGAAACATTAGTTAGAACATAAAAGAAAATTATTACAATTTTTGCTAATTAATTCCGCCAGGTTCATTGCTCTTAGCCGACTTTTAATTTGTTAATGGTTTCTGACTTTGTAAGGTCTTTACTCAGCTTTGCTCACAGTTTAGGCCCTATAGATAGCTTAGACTGTGTTTGCCACGAGCTTCCGTGTTGAACCTGGGTATGGTAAAGTCCGCGTTTCTCAGAGAGTAGCGGCTTATATTTTTGCTAAACAGTCCAGCTATATAGGAGGAGGCGATGTTGCGTTTGACCTTATGCATATTTACGAAAGCAAATGCGAATTGCTTTGGACACTCAGATGAAAACCACTTCAATTATTGTTTAGTATCAAAAACGTAAGGAGGCGCAGTAGTCTAATGGTTAGTGAGATTTTGCTGTGTTTTCGCTGGCAAGATACTCTCTAAATGTCTCTCCCCACACAGACGAATAACTGATGGGTACCAAGGAATAGTTAGGCAATCCACAGTGCGCAAATTACTGACAGATAGACTACTATGGACTGTGACCCACTAGCCGCAAACGTTGTTCTGTCTTCCTACGATTATAGCAAACTTTCTATTTTTAAAGAGAGTAATCATTAATTCTCCATGAATTCCATTTTGTATAAAAGGGACGGTTAATTGTTTATTTCTCATTACTGTGGACATGTTTTTAGTGAGAGTAATAATTTTTTTCGTATTTTAGTTTAATTGGATCTCCGTCCTTCACTGAGGGAAGGTGTCCTGGCAGTAAGGCCCTTTTTTTGAACCAATCGCATTCCTACGCCCTTGCACCAATCATCAACCTTAACGACAGAAGCTTCACCATTGCCTGTTGGATTAAACAAACGAAGTGGGTCTTCGATGAGTTAGGGGCGATATATGGCGACTGGTATAATCCACGGCAGTTTCTGCTAGGCGCGAAAAACCAGAAGATTGTATTTCAGCGTTACCAATCCGAAAATGATGAATTGGATTTGTGGTCCATAGAGAGTAGCAATGTTACTTTGGACACGTGGACCCACGTGGCTGTTACCTGGGACCACGCGACTGGGTTCGTGTTAATCTACGTTGACGGTAAAGTGAAAGGAGCAAGATTGTATCCCGGTAGCTCCGCGTTTGTTCAACCCACAGGTTGGCGTTACCAGATTGGTAAGGATGGTCACTGGAACGGTCATCAGTTCCATGGTTCAGTGATGGATCTTTATGTCTTTGGTACGGCGCTGTCGCCGGGTCAAATCAATAAACTAAGAGGTAAGTTAAATGGTTTGGACCCAGTAGTATCAGTAGTTTGTCTTGTGTGATCGTCCGGGTGATGATAGTTCTGACGTTTCGACAACC